AATTAGGAAAGTTAAAAAAAAGCGTAGTTTTTGTAAAGAATTTATTTGATTGTCTTTCCGGTTGAATTTTAGGGAGTGTTTGTGATTGCTTTTACTTTTAAAAAGTGATTTCTTTAAAGTGATTTTGGAAAAAGTGTTTAATAGTAAAAGTTGGCAGTGTTTGGGAAAAAAATGTTTTTGAAAAAGTAAAAATGGGTAGTGTTTGATGAAATAAGTGTTTTTTGTGTAATAGAAAAAGTGAAAAACGATTTAAAGCACCTCTCTACCAACTTCCAACTTTTAGCTTTAAAGTGTTTTTTTTTAAGTAGAAGTAGGCATTAGCAAACACCTTTTCAGCTTATTTTAAGTTAAAAGCCAAGAAGTGCTTTTTTAAGCAATAGCAAACTCTCCTTTAAGTCGAAAGAACTTATTTTACCAGACTTGATAAACTAGATTTGATAGAGAACATGTCCAATAAATTTCATCAAAAAATTCTACTGGAAAAGAGCCCAAATGCCCTCGGCTGGACGGTGAATCCTATCAGTTCGGTCTGACAGGATCACTACTCAAGAAATCATTTAGTCAAAAGATTCAATCATACTTTTTCACTTTATTAATATAATAAGCGGGTCTACAAACACCTCTAGCCCAAATCGGTCAGGATAATATATGGGTTAAAAATGAGCTAAACAAGCTTATAATGGGTTACCTCACTTACTCTAAATCATGAGTGAAAATAAACTATCAAACCAACGACAACATCTTCATTCTTCAACCTCATTCCGCCTCGTTTCGACTGTTTTGAAGGCATTCTAGATTAATATACAAGGATTCCGGTTTTAGGTGTGTTTGTTTTCAACCTTTTTCCCGATATATCTGGCGTTTTTGTTTCCCTCGATTGTAGGGTGTTTTCTGTCCCCGTTAACTTTGGCCAGTCAGTTGTGGTGACTACTCGGGTGGGCTGTGTGAGCTGGAACTGCCGCAGGTTAGGGAACCTAGTCACGGTCCAAGTGTTGGAGGTCATAATGGAGGTTGATGGAACCAGATCAATAAACGGCTTTGTGGCTATGCTACATTGCTACTAGATCAGCATCGCCTGGAATTCTATTAGAGCTTGTGAGTGGGATGCTTCCTTTGGATGTGGCTGGGCAAACCTCTCTCCTTTCCGATGGCTGGTCAAACATCTTCTCCCTTGCTAGTGGTTGGAAAAACCAGGAGCATTGATTTTATTTGTTATTTTCATTTTAATAACTCTAACTTTTATGTCCATTTATTTTAGTCGCAAGTATAACGATGCTGTTAGATTAGCCTACCATGATGCATGGTGAACGATCTTGACGGGTCCTCCGGGACTGATCAGTTCTATGTCTTATTCCAGAATAGCTCTGAGCCATTTGTTTGCTTTGTCTCTTGTTACTCCCATTATTATTAATAAATAAATGTTTTATCTTTCAAAAAAACTACTCCCTCCGTCCCTGATTGTTCTTCCAAATTAAAGTGGCACGGTGATTAAGAAAGTGGGAATTGTGTGGTGGAGAGTTGTGCAGAGGAGAGAGAAATGCTGTGAACCACAAATTCTTTGCCAAAAAGGGAAAGTGAAGTTCTTTTTGGGACGGACGAAAAGGGAAAGTTGGAAGTAAATTTAGGGACAGAGGGAGTATCAAACCACAATAGTACGTGACTCTTATTTCTATAAGGTCTATAATTTTTTTTTAAAAAAATTAACATGATGGGACTAGCCTAAAATTTATACAATAGTTTCTCATGGATTATTTTATACCAAACCGATCTTGGACAATTACTTTAAGTGCACTTAATGAGTTGATAATTGCTTCTATTTGTGGAGGTGTGCGAACAACGTTGAGAAATTAAAGCATTGTTTGAGTTACACACTGAAGTAGGAGCGAGTTCCGTTTTTGGACAAAATAAAAAATGATATTAAAGTAAAAAGTGCACACCTGATTTGATCGTTTGGTTTGTTTCGAGTCAATTTTTAGTTGTTTATAAAAAGTTCTCATTTGATTTAAAAATGATAGAATAGTTCGGGAAAGTATGCATCAAAATTTGGAAATTTTTAAAATTTAGTGAACTATGTTATTTTTAAAATTTGGAAAAATAATCTACAGTATGCATCAAAATTTGCTGATTTTACGTTTAAATAATGCTGATTTTCCACAAGTTATAACTTTATACTCGTAATGAGTTACGGAGGTCATAATATATCAAATCGAAGATATTTCAGATTCTATACTCTTAAATTTTCAGCGGGGTCAGCTGACCACCCCTCGGCTCCTCCCCTGATTGGGAAGGAAGGCAGTAATTACAATTCCATATTTAGTAAGACAATACTCTTCTCAAACGGAAATTAAAATGTCATTTTTTAAACGTAGTTTGCGGAGCCAATGCAAAGGAACTAATAAACAGCAGATTGATTCTCGATAATTAGAGCCACAAAATCTATTGCTTTGAGTTGCATGTGCAGAGAGCAGTGACCCATTCGGATCCAATTTAGATGCTTAATGTTGGGGGCCACCTGTTTTTGGGTTGGGGTCCAACCCCAATTATGCTCTCTTATCTTAGCCCTTAATTATGTGCATATCCTTCCCATTTCTTGGCTGGCAACGTACACACTGCACACTAACTAATTCCCCAGGACTTGAGGACCCCATCCATTTCCTAAGCCTTTAAATAGTTGATGAGGTCTAACTCAAGGGAACGCCAGAGGCCGAATCCTCGTCATACCTCGATCCGATAGAATAATGCTCACGGGGATCCTGGATGTAGTTAAATCAAATTAACTTCGACCCGATTTGGGTATCGGTTTTTAAAGTTTTAACGACCAACTTTTTAAAATTATTAAATTATTTATCTCGTGCTCTAGATTATGTATGTAGTCAATATCTATAAGGTTGTAGTTACCGTTTTACTAAATTTAATGGTAATGGCTATTTTGACCTTTTCTTTGTTTTATTTATTAATTAAAATATATTCAAATTTTATAATCTCTGTTCCGGACTCCCTCTTAAGCTTTCCACTTGGGTCCCAACTAAAAATCTCACTTCTATTTTAGGAGTTAGTACTCTTATATGACAAATTAATCATCAAATATTAAAAATAATACACTTAATTATAATGTCACAGTTATCACCAATACCCTCAATGCCTTAATGTATCGTGTACCTATCAAACTTTTTTTTCGAAATATACTCGAGTTACTTAGTGATAAGTATAATTTTTGTCTAAATATCAATGTCATTTTTTATACAAATTTAAGAACTTTAATTCAGAACGAAGGTAGTACTGTAGTAGTATAGTACTACGTATTTTACACATTTTTGCATATTCACCCGGTAGATGTGTTTCAACATTAATTTCACCAATTGCAGTGTAACTTTATTGAGTCTATTGAATGGGCATAGTAGTGCAAAATACACCTGTCTACGTACTAAGCATTTAATTAAGATTGAAGTGGATGATTAGTGATTGAATTAGACAATATAACTAAATTGGAAGAACTCCTTAATTGGAAAGTGCAGGTAGGGTTCGGGTGACATGTTGATAGGGACTATATAATTTTATGGATTTTGCACATCAACCCCTGATAGTGGCAGATAATGGGTTAATAGTATGTATATTAGTACTTTGATCTCGCTTTAATATCAAATTAATACCAAGACTCCTCTAAAAAAAATTAATACCAAGACTGCCTATTGTGGGATATGCGGATTGTTTTGAAAAATATACTAGGACTTGGGAATATATGAGTTCATATATCATAAAGTTAAGTTCTAACTTGTGCGGAGTATAAGATTATGGTTGGAAGTGGCTTGAAAGGAGGACGATGTCAACAATCAAATACGTGCACAATTAACGAGTGTTTATAATTGATTCTACTTCTTTTTAGTTTTTATAAGTTGAATTAGAATTAAAAAAAATCAGTTTTTCAGGTCAAGGTCATCCCAACTTCTCAAAAACTGTTTGTATGAGCAATTTGGATCACTTCGAAGTATTTCTAAACTTTCTTTCAAACACTCTAATATCCGCTTCTACTCTGTGAAAGAGCAGGATTAACTTTTAAAAGCAGATCCAAACACTCCTTAAGCTCATTTACTAACACTCAAATGTCTCACTCGACGAGGATTAATGGATGGCTTAGTTATACATCCTGAATTGTGAAAATATTATAATCAAGGTATACCTTATTAATTTTAATAATTAAAGAAAAAGAATGTGAAAATGAAGATAAAATAGTCCTATTTACTAAATTCAATCAATTCAATCATAAATGTAATTTTAGCCTTTGCAATTTTAATTACTACAAAATTAAGTGTGCTAAATCAAAAGATTAGATTCTACAAAAAAATGACAAAGACTAATACTACGTAAGTGGGAAATAGATTCCACCAAATAAACTCAGTGAAATTGAAAGCTTATATTCGTCTGTTCTGCGCTACATACACAACCCCTTATGTATTTCCGATCCTATAGTTGTATTGTTCAATCATGCTATCATTGTAATATACTTTTCCTTAATGGAACAGAGTAATATACTTGATTTAACATTTAAAGCAAATTAGATAATTTTATTTCAGATATTGTTAGAGTAGAAGTCTAAAAACTTATGGAGTACCTTGAAATTTGGAACTACTCATAAACTCATGAACAAGTGTTGCTGTGTTCACTACAAGAAACTCGCTTTTTAGTGGCGGAAAATCCGTCACTAAATCCGCCACTAACTAATGTAGTGACGAATATTAGTGGCGGACTTTCCGCCACTGAAATCTTGACATTAAAAGCTTTACTGGCGAATCTTCACTTCCGTCACAATATAGAGGCGGAACTTAGCAGCGAAAAATCAGCCACTATTATTAGTGACAAACATTCCGCCACTAACATCCATCACTAAAAAATTAATTTGATAAATATTTTTGATCAAAATGATTTAATAAAATTATTTAAAATGAATTTAAATGGCCCAATAATAAAATTATATACTACAATTTCATGATTTACACATAATACGAAAACTAGATAGCCACAATAACACATTAAATTGGTATACATACCATCATAGACGCACATAAATAAACACATACTAGAATTTAGTAATCATTGTCAACAAGAATAAAAAATAACATCCCAATGCAAGTCATTTTGAACATCAAAATACAACCCAAACACGTCATTTAGAACATCAAAATACACCAAACACGCTATCTAGTGAATACAAACATCCTAACACACGCAATAGAGGGCAGAGAAGATGTTGAACAATCTGAAATGCATGTCTAATGTCCTTGGAGTCACACAGAGTTTGATTTGTTCTGCTTGGCAGCCTTTGCTCCTTTAAATGACACCATATTGACCATATGGTTCTTTCCAAATGAAGTAGGAGGTGGAGACGGTGTTGAGCAGTCCAAACTCCCTGATACATCTTCAGGTCAATGAGTTCCATTTGCTCTTCTGCCCAGCACCCCTACATCTTTAAATGAAACCATATTGTATTTCAGAATCTTCAAATGACTTGTGTACAGAAAAAATACAGAGTAGCTCATTAAAAAAGAACTCATGAAAAATAGACAGCTTTTTACAAATGAACCATACCACAAATAGAGTAAATTGGGCTTTTCTTTTCCTTTATTTTGCTACAAGCTCCAGCAGCAAGTGCACAAGATAGAAAACCTGAAAAACAATAGCAGGTACGCATTCAGAAACAGTGTGTAAGGGAGTTTTAAGCTATTGCAATTTGTCTTTCTGTATTGAATATAAGTGTGTATACCTAGTATGGAGTAGGAAAAACAAAGTCTCACAAAAAAACAGAAATGTCATTCTCGAAAATTCACAAACCCATTGTGCAAGAAGCCTGTTATGTTTACCATGCCCAACATATCATATTATTCAGCCTATAGCGTGATTCAACCAAAAAATATTCAGGGGGAGAAACTTACATGTAAGTGAAATCTGGAATTCAAGAAAGAGCACAAAAATCAGGAGAATAATGAGTGCCAAAGTTGAATAGCCCCTATTGCCAGAGTTCCTGATGCATTGACAAAAACGACAAGAACAGGTGGTATTATAAGCATTCTTGATAAAATGGTAAAAACAAAAAAAAAATCGTAAAGAAATTTACCTGAAATCAAGAGGCTTAAGAACTGGTGCATGAAAGAACACTTACGCCACAATGGAAATTTAAAACAAATACTAAGTACTCTGTATACTTCATGGATAGCCCTAGCTAGCTCAAAATATACAAAATTATACCTTTCCCAAGATTGGTGGAATATACCTCATGGATAACCGTAGTTAAGTTCAATTCCTTCTACATATGTATTCATTAAACAACATTAATTCGATTTCTAGATAGATAAGGTATAAAGAAAGTGATTTGGTAAAAGAGATACCGGCAAGACCATGTGCAGGTGCAAAGATGCGGTGAGACCTTAGTGGTAAGTCCATCCCGCCACAGCCCGCTAAGTGTCTTACTAGGGAGATGGAGGCATGGAGCCGCAGAGATGAGGTGAGGCCGCTGGCCCGCTGCAGAGATGAGGTGAGGCCGCCGCTGAGATTGAGAGGGGTGACACCGTTGAAGAGATTTCTACTAGGTTTTGTGAGTAGGCCGGTTTTGAGGATTTTTGGCGGACGGAGGGAATTTGGGCTAAAATTTTGGTTAAAAAGTGGAGGGATTTTTAGCCTGATGGGCGGGGAGTGTGTTTAAAACGGGAGGGAAATGAAATTTTGGCGAAAATATTTAGGGATATCATCATATTAGTTGAGAAAAGTTTCCGAAATAGGACTAAAACAATTTGAAAATTCCAAAATAAGACTATCATGTTTTTATTCCCAAACTATGAGTAATTACTGCCAAGTTTGGAAAATACTGCCATATTTTACGCCTGGTACTGCCAAAACATGAAAGTAATTAGTCCTATTTTGGGAATAAAAACATGGCAGTCTTATTTTGGAATTTTCAAACCTTTTTAATCCTATTTCGGATAATATTTTCTACTCGTATTAGTTAGTAATCTCATATTTGATAGCTCACAATGCTTTTATTGAGATTGATTTTTTCTTGGATTAGATCAGATTAAATCAGAATAGATTAGGTCAATTTGAGTAAAAATGTCCTCGAACTTTTTTCATAAATTAAGATAGTAAATTCCAATGTAGCTTTCTACTTATATATATATATATATATATATATATATATATATATATATAAAACTTGAGAAAAGATACAAAGTAACTTTCAGACAGTTGTGACAGACCCGATTGTAAGCTGTGAGAATAGACATAGAAGCATTCACCTCATGCAAGAAAAATCCCTCCGTCCTGGGTAAAGTTTCCCGTTCAATTAACAATGTTTTATTGGACATATGATCTACCATATACCTTACCTGGCTATGTTATATATTATATCATTATTAATGAGTAATCCAAGCCTTAGCATTTAAACATCACGCTCCATGCAAAACCATGCCAAATATACATATATGGGATGGTTGGGTTGGTTCTACCTTGAATCAGGCTTCTAAATCTTTTCTTGGACTTAGAACCGCCTTCCAAACCCCCATTCTACATTTTTAAACATATAGAAGAATCATAGGAGTTCTTCATATGAGTCATTTGTCATATGGGGTTACATAGAAGAAGGAGAAGTAACAATAAAGTCCTTACCTCTCTTTCTCAAGCTTTCTTCTTTCTTGTTTGAGCTTGATTCAAAAATGGAGAAGATGAATTGAGAGTCTCTCTTTTTTGTTTGATGAAGTTGTAAGGTGTAGAGACTGTATATCAAGCCCATTTCGCCGAATTGTTTTGGGTCTTTTAAATTATGGGCCCGCAAGTTTCCTATTGGGGTCAGAGTTATATTCTCTTTAAATACCCGCCCTCTCATTATAATCATCATAAAAATAATAGTAACATCATGTCTTGGTAGCGCCCCAGACGTAGTCATTCTTGACGAGCTGGGTAACCAAACTCTCATGTTTTCTTATTGTTATTCGTATTGTGTGTGTGTTATATCCTAACAGAAGGTTGGCCGACTGAATGCTCTTCTAGTCAAATCCTAGTTTGCTTCCAATTATGCAGGGGCGGACGCAGGAAGTTTATCATGGAAGAGCGGTAACTTAAAAAAAATTGGGAGAACGAAAATTATTTTTTAGTATATATATACACTAAAAAGTTTTTTTGTTGGAGGGGCAACTGCCCTCTGGGTCTCTACTACGGTCCGCCACTGCAAATATGGTAATATTATTGTATGAACCAATTCATTATTTGATCACAATTATCCTTAACTGGATGTGCTAGTTTAACAGAAAACGTTAGTGACTAAAGATCAACGCATAAGTTTGAATAGGTGTTAAGTTGGTCTACTAAAATATGAGGTCAATCCGAGATTCATTAAAAAATTTAGTGTCAATTATTGTGATCGTTATGAAAATTAGATTCTCATTATTTATTGATTAGTTTGGTGAAAATTATGATATATACAAGGAATAATAAATTTATTAATTTTTATGAGTTCTATCTTCTTATAATAATATTAAAATGAAAATAATTAATAAAAATAAGATTCTAATTATTATGAGTTGGTTATTATAATCACTAAAGTTATACTATTATAATCACATTAAGATAATATTTTTTTCACCAATAGTATAATATTCTTTTAGTACTATAATATTTTATTTTATCATATATATACATATGTGAAAAGTACAAATAAACTTCTAGTATATGAATAAATTACAATAAAAAAAAGTTTGTATTATTCTTTAGGTTAGTGGCAGATTATTGTGTGAGAAATGTCTGCCACTAATTGTTGGCGACAATTGTGTCACGAAAATCCGTCACAAATCTGTGTCCGACGCAATCTGTCATTAAAATCCGCCATTAAATAATGGCGGAAAACGTTCGCCACAAAATTGTGGCGGTTTCAATTCCGCCGCTATTTCCGCCACTAAGTAGTGACGAAATGGATTTCCGTCACTAAAATCTGTCACTAAATTCCGGATTTCTTGTAGTGGTTGATGAATTATTTAAATGCATTGAAATTTATATTTCAAATAGGTTTAATTTTGTGCATATTTGGTAAGTATAAGTCACCCCTTCTAATTTTGAACTATTCCAAAATTCTTTCAGTTTTATGTTTGATATGGTAATTTTTAGAGTTCTTTTCAAAATAAAAGTTCTTTCTTAAGAAGCTACACTCAGTAATGTTTGACACTTTGAAAGAAAATATGCAGTTAGTTTTTTATAATATGGAGTATTAGTTAATCATAATAGCTTGTTATATCAAATATAATTTAATGGAAAAATTGAAAATAATAATCCCAACTATTACCGGTCCGCTGAAAATAATCCCAACTATTGATTATTTTTGTATAATCCCAACTATATAGACTATCTGCAATAATGGTCCATGACCATATATTACCTCTATAAAAATTGAATTTTAAATAGAAATTAAGCGTAAAAATTAAAAGTTGAGATTATTTATAGGGATTACTTGTTATATCTCATCTCATCCACTTTAGAAACTACAAGAATTTATTCATAGAGATCATTATTGGCGGAAGGTCCATAAAGTTGGGATTATTCTGTAATAATCAATAGTTGGGATTATTATGAGCGGACCGCCATTAGTTGGGATTATTACTATCAATTTTTTCTAATTTAATTAAACAGTTAGTTTTTTATCGAACAATTACGAACTTTTATTTTTAAGATCTTTTTAATCACTGAAACTAACAGATAGTGAATAACTTACAAAAATTTCTTTTCAACTAATTGTGCCAAAGAGTTTTCCCACTTCTAGTCCTCCGACTTTTATATCACTGACACTTTTGATACTGGACTTCGATTTTCCACTTTTGATCTTTCGACTATTGTGCAAAACACACTTTTGGTACCCATCTTTGAGAACTACTTCCATATTTACTCTTTGACTCTCATAAAAAGACATTATTTGTTCTGTAACTATTATAATAGTGACATTTTAAGTCTTTCACTTATTGTGACAAAATCATAGTGGAAAGAATTAAAGTGACAATTTTATAATACTCAGAGGATTAAATATGAGAAACTTTGAAATTGATGATTAAAAGTGTCCTATCGTCTCGCACAATTGTCGGGAATTAAAAATAAAAGAATTGAAAGTTGAGTAACAAAAATGTCATACATAACACAATAATCGAGTGACAGAAAGTGACAAAAAATTTTGTACCAAACATAAGTGTCACCTCTTCTCCACATGCATATTTTGTGGATACGCGGATTTGTGTGTTCGTGGCAGTGAAATAGACATAGGCATAACCCGGTCTTTTGACATGGGCATTATTATAGAAAGAGGAGACGGCCTACATGTGAGGATAGTGTGGAGACAATCTAGAGATCGAAGGTTAGGGCGTGGAAAACCTTTCACGTGGCTTGTCATCATCTCTACTCCTTCATTTCTACACCTCAATCATCCACCATATGCTGTTTCAAAAGTCCATCAAACTTTTTACATGATAGAAACTCTTCACATGTCCTTAAAACAATAGTTTGGTTAATTAATTGGTTACACACTTTTTCTCTTTTATAAGTTACATTAGTTTATACGAAGTATTTCTTGATTTATTTACCTTTATCGACTATTAGAAGAATAACTTTCTTCACACTATAGTATTCCATTGTCCGGTTGTTGATTCGTCCTAGACATCATCGTGTTTTCATAGAAAATTTATGACCCTGTTGATTTATTCACCGCGTATCTTTCAACAAAGTGCATCTAAGCTAGACTCGAGAGACGCCCTACGATCAGACTCTGATACGACTAAATCTAGAAAAGGAGCACCAATCGCTGATCACCAAATGGACAAAACAAAATTCCTATAGACCTTTAAGGTCACCGCACTATAGTATTCCATTTCTTGATTTGTTTATATCAAGTCACCAATTCAATAAATCAGTATCGGTATTATGTCATGTTAAAACCTTAAATTCTATCCTCAAAGATTAATAGTTGCTCATACCTGATACGTACTCTTTTAGAATGATTTGTTACTTAGCTTCATGTTAACAAAATCTCCAACTTCCCATCACGATTTGGCATTAATGTGTGACTTTAGTCATTAATATAGTTTAAAAGAAGTTTTTCAAAGAAAAAGTAAAATATGAACAAAATTTTAAAATATATACTACATTCGTCCCACAATGGTTGTATCTTTTCAATTTGGCACGGTTATTAATAAAATGGTTGAAAAGTAAAAGTTGTGATTGAGATTTGAGTAGAATAAATTGAAATGATGTGAGCCACAAATTTCTTACCAAAAAGGGAAACATGATATCTATTTTGGGACAATCCAAAAAAGAAAGTAAGACAACCAAAATGGAACGGGGAGTAGAACTTAGGAGCTGTTTTTTCGTCTTATTCTTATAATGGATATACAATGTGGAACTTTAAAACCAAAAATAAATATTTGTAAGTGTACGTACCTAAGAGACTCCCTCTTAAGTACACACATGAATCTTCGTAAGTTGGGGTTTGTCATCTTTGTTTGAAATAAAAATGATAGATACAATTTGTACACAATCTCTTGCACTTTTTATACATAATTAATACTACTTATATAAATACAAAATCCCCTTTCCTCTCCCCTTCTCTTCTATCTATCTCCCCGTTCCCATTCTAACCTC